CTTAGGTTTTTCGCTTGCCATTTTGTTAAGAATATAGCTGAAGGAGAATTTGGCAGGTGGTCTGTTGTTATTTTTGTTATTTTCAGGTTTATTAGGAATGACTTGTCCAGAAATAAAGTCTCTAAGGTTGGATTTCAAAAGGTTGAATAGTTGTAGAGCCAGTGGGGTATTAAGTTTATTATATTGTTGCATGGTTGAGGTAATTGAATAGTTTTTAAACTAGTTAAAGTCTTTTGAGGTGTCATGTTTTAGAGTATTTGTTTTTTGTTTAGGTTGTTTATTATTATTCATATTTTGTTTGTTGTTATTTGTGGTTTCTTTTGAATTGGAGTTGTTGTCTAGTTGATTATTAGTATTTTTAGTCTTTTTGGGAAGCTTGTCCAAAAATTTTTTAAATAAACTGCATTTGTCTTCTGCAGATAGTTGAAAAAATTTGATTTTACAGTAAAAACCATGTTGTTCTCAGTTCATAGGACTTGTAAATTTGGCTAGCTTTAGTTTGAGTTTGTGAATATATTGGAAATTGGCAGGAAAGCCACCAACTTCAGTTTTAAAAACCAGAGCTTTTGGATCTAGTGAATGTTTGTTGTCAGTTAACATAATACAGGATACGTCTTTAGTTTTGCAAATAATACATGTATGTACATGATGAGAATAGGCCGTAAAAGAGATTTGATCATCAGTATCTTGTCTACTATTGCTGTAGCAGTTAGGGAATGGGTTAGCAATATTGTGTTTGAGTTGAAAGAATGACTTTGGTACATTATGAAGGGAATTGTAAAGTTTAGCATCTAGATCAATTTCTATTGAATTAGATGGCTCAGTTGCTGTTATAGAAGTGGTATCGGAGGTAAATGATAGGCATAAATGCTGTGAAGCAAACTATATATGATATTTTCCACAGAGACATCTTGAGATAATAGGTTGAGTAGGGCTGGAGAAGAAGTGATAGCCATTGTTAATATAACATTATGTAGGATTGAAGTTAGTTGGAAAGACTTTGAAGCTTTTACAGTTTTTGTCTGAAATAACTAAGGTTTGACTACTATATTTGTTTTGGAGGATATCTAGGTCGAAGGAGTCTGGTTCAATAGTAGTAATGTTAGACATATTGTGTAACTAGTCTTATATAATATTTGTACTAGTAAAAAACAATTTTCAAATCGGATTGAAAAATCTGATTTTTGGATGAAATTTTTTAATTTAGGGGCTTTACAGATAAGTTAGGAAAGATCTGAAAAATGTAGAACTAATAGAAAGGCTAATTGGATGTTTAAGAAATTTTATTGGATGCCAGAAAAGTGAATTTTCTGGGGCAACCCAATGAATTTTCCTAAATTAACCAGTAAAATAACCTGCAAAAACAGATTTTAGTTTTACCTTTTTTCTAGTATCTCGGTGATTTTTGGTTTGTTTACTATATAATATATATCAAAATGACTGGAATGAAGTGCTTGTTATTTTTCTAATAGGTAACAAGGTTTAATTAATTAGTAAAATATTGAGCAAATAAGCAAAAACCAAAATGTTGATTTTTGTAACTTTTCTCAGTGGTCAAGTATTGCAGGAGCTTAAAAGTTGGCCGCCTAGAAGGAGAAAAGTGGGCTGAGTAATTTTACTTAGAGGTACAAGTAAGATTTACTTAGTAAAATATTGAGAAATAATTAAATGTTTTTAGCAAAAATTTGGTACAAGTGATCTATGAAAAGAGTTACCATCTAATGATTATAGATAAGTTAGTCAATAAGGTTATTAAATAGATCATTTTGATGTACAATAACTTTGTGAAAAATAAGCTAGATATCATAAGATTTGATAAAGTTGATAAGAGTTTACCAGATAAAGAAATATGAAGTATGAGTATGAAAAAGAGTAGATGCTGATTGATAAATGTTATGATATTTGGAGATTACTGATTGTGAGTCAGTAAATATATAGACAGAACAATGTCTAGGAGCAGTAATAATTGCTAAAAGGATACCAAAAATTTCAGCTTTGAAGGAGTATGACTAGAACTTAACATGTGACTGAAATGAGTTAATAGTTGTAGAGTTGTCAACTTGAATCCAACTTATGTCTATATAAGAAAATATAATCAAACCAAAGATACAATCTTTATTATTTACTGAACAATTAAATTTGATATGTCACAAACTGAACTTTATCTTTATATAATTATATTTGCCAACAATGCAAAGACTGCTACTTAAACACTAATTATATAAATTACAAATGCACATTTTTTATTCCAACTAATCTTATACCAAAATTTCTAAGTAGAAAAATAAATACAAACGCTGCTAAGGAGCTAAACCTTCATGCAAACTTTTTTGGATCTACTATAATCTGTTTTCCTCCGACAATTGTTTTATTGACAATTTATTTCATATCTACTTTCCGGAAATTTTATTTTTTACAACTAAATTTTGAAATCAATTTTAAAAATTTGCATATTATCTAAATCAATATATTAAGGATTTATAATATGAAATATGTAATCTATAGTCATTTATTCTAAATATTGAACTAAGATATTTATTTCATGAATATTTATTTCATTCGATAATATCGAACATAAATATTTACTGTCGCGGATTATAATAAAACCGGATTAAAATGAAACGAGGAATTTCTATTTACCCCTAAAACCCACTTATACTTGTTTATTATAAATTCTACCCCTAAACTCTAATCTTAATCCTTAAAAAATACTAAAAAAAATGCACCTCAAAATTTTGTATTTTCGGTGGCTTGTCTATTTGACATTATTACTCATTTCATTTTAATCTGATTTATTTTTATTGCTGATCTGATAATTTAATTAAACAAATAAGAAAAACATACCGACATAAAATTTCTGTTCGCTATCCCTAAACTTTACCATTAACAATACTACTAATATATATATAAATATCTACTAGCATTAAGGCAAAGTGACAAATAAATATTCATTATAGTTAATCTAAAAATAAACTCATGATTGTTCATCGTCAAGTCTGCATTAACCACAAAAAATAAAAGAAATAAAACAACTTCAATAATATTTAAAACATGAAATAATCCTACAAAAATTTCTTATGAAGAAATTGCATACACAAAATCTTTTTTTTAAAAAAAATAAAGTCATCAGGAATATCAATTTCAGATAACTTTTCTGTAATTTCCCGCGTGTTAATAAGCTTGCTTCCACCTTTAAACATTTTCTCATAGTATGATTCTTCGATATTCTCAAGTACTGTTTTAGACTCATTTAGTTCTAACAAAATACTTTCATTGCTTTGACATTTCTCAAAATTTCGCAAAGATCTTTTGCTGATAAACGTTTTCTGAATATTTATCCCAAAATTTTCTCATAAGATTTACGTAACATTGTGTGCTTCTTCATTAACAACAGGTCTTAAATCATGACAACATACTGAAAAATAAAGTTGTGACATGGCAAGGTTTTGATTATAAGATACAGGATTTCCGTATAAAATTTCCCACATGATTATACCAAATGAATAAATATCGGATGCTTTAATATATGGTTGATTGTTCAAAGCTTCAGAAGAAATATATGGCAAAATTCCACAAACTCCATCAGAATTTGATTTTAATGCAATATTAGCAGTTATTAAAAGTCCTAAATCTGCAATACATGCACTTTTAAAGCTATCTAGTAGTATATTTCCACTATGTAAATCCCGATGAATAAGATCATGAAAATGAATTATCTGAAGATCTGATGCAATACATTGTAGCAGATTTAATTTATCATTCCAATCCATCAGTGCTATAGTTTGCAGATTTTCGCGCAAACAACCTTCTGAAGCATACATTATTACAAGGATATAGTCTTTAGAAACTTTATCTTTTGATATACCAAAGCATTTAAAAAAGTTGGATCTTTATGGCCGATATCATAGTATGCTTTTAACTTATAATTAGAATGAAATATATTTTAAATTGTTAATATAAATAATAAATAAAGAATTATATTCTGTATAATTAATAAAAATATTAAATATAAAGATTACCTCTTTTATAAATTCTTTATGACAATTATTTGAATTATGAAGTAATTTAAGCGCAACAGGGACAGTTGCATTTTGACTTTTATCAAGCCATATAGCAAAATATACAGTTGCAAATCCTCCTTTACCTATTTTTCTAACATTCATAAATTTATCGTAAGAAATCCAAGATAGCTGGTACTCATTTTCGATTAATAAAATTTTCAAATCATCAATTTCAGAATTATGCTTCCATTCATCTGTAACTAATAATTATAATAATTATTTATAAATCTATCAAGTTTAGATTTTAAAAGAAATTCATAACGATAACAATGTAGTTTAATAAATTATAATAATACCTAACGTCAATTCTTTCACCCTAATCGGAAATTTAAATATATGAATTTATTATGAATTTATTAAATTAATACAAACTACCATATAAATTATCGCATAAATTCTCGTGTAAATTATCGTATAAGTTAGCGTATAGTGGGTAAAACAGATATCCGACTATCATGTTCTCATACGATAACGTTATTAAGTCCAGCTGTTACTATCGTATATATTTGATCATGTTATGTACAGTTTTTTACATGTAGAATTTTTAACGTTATCAATTATTGCTATATTTATTTATGCCATACAATATGAATGCTAATATTAATATGAAAAGTTGGACAAAATCTGGTACCATAGTAACAACGTGGCTGTTTAATAAAAATTAGGAGTAATTGTTCATGAATCAAGCTTAAAGTTATAACTCTAAGTTATAACTCTACCCTAACTCTATTATAATTCTAACCCAGACAAACTCAATTACATCTGACCTTTTTGATTTGATTGATTTGATTATGAAGAATCACAACACCTCTGAGTAAATTAAACTCAATACTTACCTTTGATACCAGTATTTAGCCTTATCTAATTCTCTTGCAATTCCAATTCCATTTCGATAACATTTTGCTACTGTTGACATTCCAAGAGCGTTCCCCATTTCTGCCGATTTTTGATAATAAATTAATGCTTTATGTTTATCCTTTGTCAACTCCAATTCCTTTAAGATAACAATATCCAACACCATATGTTCCACTCGCATCACCCATCTCTGCAGATTTTGATAATAAATGAATCCCTTACGTTCATCCTTTTCAACTCCAATTCCTTCGTCATAACAATATCCAACACCATATGTTCCACCTGCATCCCCCATCTCTGTGGATTTTTGATAATAAATGAATGCCATATCTTCATCATATTCAACACCAATTCCATTTATGTTCCATCAGCATTCCCCATCTCGGCAGATTTATGATAATAAATGAATGCCTTATGTTCATTCTTTTCAATCCATTTACCATGCTGATAACAACGACCAAGAATTATTTGGGTCATATGATTAATTTGATTTTTTAAGCACGATTTAATTACATTATCTGGATTTTGGCTCTTTTTTACTAAAAATTGATCCAATATGTTAAATTTTTGTTCTAAACTTTTGCCCTTCGATCTTTCTTCATTATATAATTTATATAATTATTTAACAATTTCACTAAAAATATTCCATGTGTTATTATCTTCTAAATGTATTTGGTTAATATCTATCTGTTTTAGATTATTTGTCATTTTAAATTAAAAATGCCGATTTACGTACGTACATAAATCATTAAATGCAGGTAGTTAGTAAAGTAGTACTGTACGATGTACAAATGTGTACTGTACGGACGTACGAAAATTGAGTAAAATTTTGATAGTACGTACGGTTTGCAAAATTAATATTATAAGTCATATTCGTTTGGCACAAGCATGTGACGAATCATTGGGTGTGGCTAATATGTATTAGTCAATAATAATAAGTAGCTGTTGTCGCGCGAAACCAGGAACGGAGGAAATCTACGCAGACTCCATTTCAGTCACGGGAAACCATATTCTTCATTGCAATCCATTCCTGGTATAAGAAAATGTCTCTTTATAAAAGGAGTTGATAGTACTTGCAATCTGAATATTGATTTGAATTTAGTGACTAAGCCTAAAAACCTATTAATGAAGTCAATGTCTGACTGCTATATAGTTGGTTAGTTAGCATCACTCAATTCCGATGAATCTGACCCAAAATTCTGGGGCCCTGCAAAAAGCATTAAAATCTACGAAACATATCTACAGAATCAACAAATTCTTTCGATTAAGTCTTTGACAATTAGTGATTATCATTTTATCTGCCCGATAAAAATTCGATGAAAAAAAATGAATATTACAAAATATTTAGCATTGAGGACTTTAAATTTACATTGTGGTCACTAATTTTTGTAACAAAAAATTTATTTTTGCTACTGCTTGTTATTGCATCTATGATTTTACTGATGTACGTACTCATTTATAAGTTTTTTTTTTTTACTAAACCATGAATAAGTCACGCAGACCAATCAATTCCAAGACTTTGCATATGGAGACTGGTATCTACCTTTTAAAGTATAGTTCAGGGTGCTACACAAGGTCACAATGAAGGATAACCCAATCATATGCTAAGAATCACACATACCATTTAACTCTTAAGTAAACCATAAGTAGCTGCATGACATTATCATACAAAATCAGGAATGGAAGGTGGATTTTCAGATTGAGTTTCAGATGAAACTGCTTTCATAATAAGTTTTTTGTTTGCTTAACTTTTATAAGTTTTATTTGCATCTTATATCTAGCTATTATGTTCAAGATGGTATAGATCAAGGAGAGACCATTACACCTTTGCTCTGGCACATATATTATGATCCTCTAATTACTTATATCCATTCCAAATTTCATTGATATAATATATTAACAATGTTCTCCTCTACAAATCAACTACTTAGATATCATATCTCAGTCCTTACTTACATAAATGATATCTTATGACTAGCTTCTAACAAACAAACCATGCAATAAATTGTTATAACAGTTGAGTCCTTATACAACATGGCTAACATTACAGTTAACTCTACAAAATCAATTCTCGCAACAAATCAAACTAAAGATCTAAATTCTATAATCAATTTTGCAAACACAATTATATATATTATGACTTTAAAACAAACCTTTTGATACTTAGTCTGCTGGTTTACACTTTTGAATCATCACAAACACATTCATAATCAGATCACTACTGAAGCTACAAATTTAATTAATACTATAAAAAACAAAAAGATTAGTGAAAAACAAATAATTTATATTGATGTGGAATACAAGGTCGGAAACAGCACTATAGAGACAAAAAGGAATGTGACGAATTGTTGCATCGAATTTGTAAATGTTGTGTAACATCACTCAAGACAGATGAGGTGAATTCAATTGGGCATTGGTCTATGGTGGCCTTAAGAACATTACCAGAGGACTTAAAGGAACATAATAGTTTACTTTATTTAATTACTTTATTTTAACAGTTAGCAGTTTATTAATTAAAAACTTTATTTATTTTATAGGGTGAGTTACAAGTTACAAGGTGATTCAGGTTTAAGAGACAGAAAGGTATTATATATCATGTATATGGCATTTATCTCTTACTATAGGGCAGAGAGGCACTCTTTATAGAACATTTTTGAGAGGGAAAATGTGAGAACTTGGGACATGGCTTTGATACCCTTTTTCTCATTATTATAGATCTTTTTTACCTTTTTTACTAATATTCTTCTCTTTTTCTTACAATTCATCTATTATTACTTTAACATCATCCTACAATGGCATACAATCCAACATATGATGACACATTGACACAGCTACAGACTTTTCCTGTCAAGATAATATTAACTTGACAGTTGGATTCCAAATTAGGCAGATGGCTTTTTCTTCAATAGATCAGTGCTGTCACTTAATAAGGAGCTTGATTTGTCTTGGGTCATGGGTATTGTGGTACAATGGTTTTCGTAGTGCAGATTATGGGTCATTATGCAATGTTTTCTTAAGTTCCTAGAGTTGAATATACCTATAACAATATAGTTAACATGGTACTTGTATCCTACTTCTTATACAGGACCATAAACACATTCATACACCAATCCACTATATAAGGCATAACTAATTTATATATGCAAGTGGTAGAACACAAAGCTGGATTTGTCTTAACAATACTAACCTCCACTATACTTTACTACCAAAATTTATAATCCTCACAACTTAACTGATATTCAAACACAAAACCACATCTTATCACTTCATACACAACTAAACAACACTTTAACAGTCCCATCAATCAAAATTATCATTCAACACCTTCAGAATGCTATACTTTCATCAAACAACATTTTACTTACTTCTAACTATATACTATCTACTAAATTTCACAATACACTCACAGCCCAAACTATTCAAACAGCACATCAGCTTAACATTTATATAGAAAATCTTCTCAACTCTTGGCCTATACCAACTATATACAAAGGCATTCCAATTGATATACTAATTAAATT